GACAGTCAGCAGCTTTTTTGAACTCGACCATTTTCATGCCTTCAAATAGGCTTCCGCTCGCCGACTTTACATGGCAAGCGGTTCCCCTTTCCCCGTGCAACTCCAGCCCCCGTCTTGCGAGGGAAGCGCAAACACAGCAGCCATGTCGCGCTTCTTCGCCAGATCGCGGGCCAATACGGCGCCTGCCCCGCACCTCGATAACAGCTATCGGTCACTGCTGAACCCCGACTACGACTCCGAGGAAGCTGCTGACAACGACGCCCGCGGCATGGACCCAGCACGGCGGCCGTCTCTGCATCGCCGTCTCCGATCGCTCCCGCACGATGCAAATGCAATGGCATCGCGATCGTGGCTGGCGGTGGCGGAAAGCAGACCGTCGGGCGAGCGGCCGCCCCCGCGGAAACTCGTCAAGGACCAGAATGGCTCGGGGCGCCCGTCCTTCTCGCTCGAGCTCTCGGATAGCGACGCCGAGAAGGATAAGGGCCTCGTGAGGCGCCAGATCGCCCGGCTCAAGGGGCTATACCGGCGAGCCGAGAAGCCGGTGGCTCAGACGTGAGCGGCAGGAAATGATTTCTGGCCGCTTCTCAAAAAGTTAATCCGCGAGTTCCATGCCGTTTGTTTTCGCAGCTGCTTTTGGGAGGGGGGTATGGTGGTGGGTTGTTTGCAGCTGCGGCCCGGCTCGCGGCCGGAGCCTTCCCCCGGGTCGCCGTTGAAAGGCTGCCACCCCTGCGCCGGTCTACCGAGGAGCTGTATACACGGGCCGGGCCTTGATGCTTCCGTCTGTCTTCTCTTGGCCGGGAATCCTGTCCGACCCGCCGCTCACTTTCACTTGGATGTCCGGTTTCCGGCGGGATGGAACACCCCTGCCGTGAGATAGGCCCCGCTTTCTCTGACGGGATGCCGCAGTTCCCGAAAACACTCACAACTCGCTACCAAAGCAGGTCCGTACCGTTAACCAAGTCCGCATGGCTACCTGGGCACTGCCGTGTCGCCATACGGCGTCATATATCGCTCTTGGCGCAATCGGACTGTCGGTCGGCCTCACGCTCCGGTCCCTGGCCCATCACCGGCCCAAAACCAAGCTTATCAAATCTCCTGTCAGCACGCAGCTGCCTCACCTCTCCGAGGCCGACTTGGCCGAACTCCCATACCCGTCCGATATATTGCCGGGTGCCCGCGATGTCGACACGCCCTACGGCCATATTCGAGTTTTCGAGTGGGGACCTGCCGAGGGTGAGAAGGTCCTCCTCATGCATGGGATCAGCACACCCTGCATCGCCCTAGGACACCTCGCCGAGGAGCTTGTCTCTCGGGGCTGTCGCGTCATGCTATTTGATTTTTTCGGCCGGGGATTATCGGATGCTCCGGTCGATTTGCCTTATGACATTCGGCTGTATACCTCCCAGATTCTCCTCGTTCTTTCCTCCAGCGCCCTCCCCTGGACAGGAAGCGACGGGTTTCATCTAGTGGGTTACAGTCTCGGCGGCGGCGTTGCCGTCTCGTTCGCCAGGTATTTTCCTCACATGGTGCGGTCGCTGGTACTCGTGGCCGGGGGCGGGTTGATTCGACACGAGCACGTCAGCTGGCAGAGCAAGGTGCTATACTCGACCGGGCTATTCCCCGAATGGGTTTTGGAGAGGCTAGTCAGGCGAAGGCTGACGCCGCAGCGGGCAGCCAACGAGGAGAACATGGCGGCCGAGGCAGTTGACACCAAGCAGCTCAGGCGACAGAAGAACAGCGACGCCAGCGGGGGAGATTCGTACGACAAGGCGGTGCTCTCAACACGGAAGCCCGGAATCACGGTGGCGGCAGTCATGAAGTGGCAGCTGACGCACCACGAAGGGTTTATCCCGGCGTTCGTGAGCAGCATTCGGTATGCGCCGATCTACGAACAACGCGAGGATTGGCAGGTACTGGGAAAGGTCCTGGCGGAGAGGAGGGAGGCACAGGGTACGGTTCCCGGGATGAGAAGTGGGCGGGTCTTGATGGTTTTAGGGGATACGGATCCGGTGATTGTGAGGGAGGAGTTGTTGCACGATGCGACGGGACTGCTGGGCGAGGATGCTATTGAAGCTGTCTCATTGGATTGTGGACATGAGATTGTCATGACTAGGGGCGAGACGGTGGCCAGGTTAGCGGTAGATTTTTGGAAGAGGGAATACTAAACCTGGATTTGGCACTTAGGGACAGTCAAGGCGTTTGAACCTCACATCGTAAAATAACCATATTGATTAGACCGGTGTTCTTCAAAAAGGAGACAGGAGACCAAGGTAAAAGATGACAGACTAGGTGAAATCGGTTTTCGTACCTTCTTGCCACACAGCCCATCACTTTGACTGGGGAATATTCCAACGAGATATCTGGTATCCAGTCACCAGTGTAGATAATCCGTACCCCGTCGGCGGTGGGAAGGTTGAGCTCTGACAGGGGTCCGGGGAGCTCAGCTGCCCCCACGTCCCAATCCCAGCTCCCCAAATCAGCCCCGTCGATTGGCCAAATTTTCAGCCATCAGCCCCTCCAACAAGGCTGACCTCGACGCTGCAGTGAAATTTCCAAGCTGCATCCAATTGCCAAATCCCAAAACCGCCAACCCAGCAACAAGATTGCCACAGACTCAACAAACCAAAAAAGAATGGCAGAATCAACACTAAGCTTCTCGCGGGAGGTATTCGCCAAACTATCACCCCATCCATACCTCCTCCGCCAGCTCGCATTAAAGGACAGCACCGCGCCGACGCGCACAAACGGCCGCTCGCCCCGCGACGCCCGCCCGATCCAGATCCACACGTCCTCGCTCTCGCACGCCCACGGCAGCGCGCTCGTCCGCTCCGGCGACACGACGGTCCTCTGCGGTGTCCGCGCAGAAGTCTTGCCTGTCACGAGCATCCCGCAGTTCCGACCGCGGCCGCCCCGGTTTGAGTCCTCGGACGGAGGAGGAGAAGATAAAGACGATGCGGACGCGGACGCGGCAGAGCTGAAGGAGTATGACCTGCTCGTGCCGAACATCGAGCTGGCCACGGGCTGTGCGCCGCAGTTCCTGCCGGGGGTGCCGCCTTCTACTGCTGCGCAGACGGTCAGTACGAGGGTGTATTCGCTGCTGCATCGGAGTCGGCTGGTCGATGTGGAGGCGTTGCGGGTTTGGTTTACCGAGGAGGAAGAAGGGGGTGGTGGTGATGAGATGAAGGATGAGGAGGAAGAAGAAGAGACACGGGCGAGGGTCATGGCGTACTGGGTGCTGTATATTGACGTGTTGTTTGTCTCGCTCGACGGGAACGCGTTCGATGCGGCGTGGACGGCTGTTGTGGCTGCGCTGAGGGATACCAAGATTCCTGTTGCGCGGTGGGATCCGGAGCGCGAGGCGGTTGTGTGTTCGGGGGCTGGGGAGACGAAGGGGTTGGTTACCAGGGGACTGCCTGTTGCCTGTACGGCGGCTGTCTTCCTGGAGAAGGAGCAGGGCGAGCCGGGCGACGGGAGGCATTGGGTGCTGTTGGATCCGGATCGGTTGGAGGAGAGTCTGTGCAAGGAGGTTATTACGGCTGTGGTCGACTGCAGCGGCGGGGAGACGAGGATACGGGCGATAGAGAAGGTCGGCGGGACGGCTATTGGGAGGGAGCTGGTGAGGGGGTTTGTGGGTGTTGCGGAGGCGAGATGGAGGGAGGTGAGCCAGGCGATGGATTCATGATACCCGGTGGCTCATCTCTGTTCGGTCACTGCTTGGACGGTGGTTGACTGGGTCATCATGTCGCGAGCTGGAAAGGTGGCCATGCCGCCGGGTTGTATCTCGACATGGCATGCTGTCAACTACCATCAGGCGGAACAACCGTTAGTGTTCACGGAATCACCGTGCCCTCTAGGGCGATCTTTTGGCGATGCTGGAGCAGTGCTTCATGGATGGTATGTACCAAAGACTCAGCCAAGATGACTAGAAAATAGAATCATGGGCAATTGCCCGAGGACAAGCCTGGGTACAGCTCAGGCGTACTCTACAATGCAAATGGCATTGATCCCAAGCGGTGGTTATCCCAGGCAGTATACCATACATTTCGCTCCTCAAACTCGGCAAAGATGATTGCGTCGCAGAGAATCACGCAGCTTCGTCCTTCAGGGTAGTAATCATGGCTAACCAGAATTCAAGACCAGTACGGATAGATATAGAACTGGGCACCGCCGAATATTTCACCGCTGATGGAGGACGGGCAATTGAGGGCGCCAGAACTTGTCGCAGAGACCTGCTCGACAGCATCCCACCAGACAGACAGATCCCCACCGCCAACTCATCTGCTTCCTTCTCGACACACACACACACACTCTCTCTCTCACCTCCCAGAACAACAAGCAACCGGTCGGGCGAGAGAATGCAAGGTAGCTAGCCGGCGACACACAACCCACCCACCACCCACCATATACATACATACGTACAATACAGCAAGATAAATAATAATAAAATAAAAAAGAAATGTGTCAAGACTTTCGAACCACCCTTACAGACAGAAGATTCTTTCCAGGGCAGTAGATACAGCAAGACAGGTTTTAATCTACCGACCCTCACACTTTAGATGTAAAATCCTAATGAAAGAATTCCACCAACCAAAATCCACGACATTGATGGATGTCGTGGGTTTTGGTTGGCGGGTCGGTTTTGTTTTGTTAGGAAAAAAAATTTGGGGGAGGGAGGGATTGGTGGTTGGTAAAATATAGTCGTGGGTCGTGGTGGGTGGGGCTAGTTAAGCGCTGCCGCGCGGTTATTTTGGAGGTGGTGGTTGGGGATTGGTTGGGGATTGAATGCATGCACCGCATTTCTGTGCATGTTACCGTGGTACGGATTAGAATAGCTAGGGTGCGATGGAAACAAAAATAAAACCCCCAGAAGGGGAGGAAGGTGGCAACGGAGGACGGGCATGTGGAAGTAAATTGGGGATGTTGCGACATTGCACAGGACCCCCACGAAATTGGGGGTATATAGACCCGTTTTGCAGAATCAGCTTTCAACAAAGGTCTTGGGTTGTATAGTGTAGTTGGCCTAGCACATCGGATTCTGATTTGTTCAGAACATTCCGGTAACCCCGGTTCGAATCCGGGTACGACCTCTTCTTTTTGACACTTTTTTTTCACCTCCTTGGATGAACCAAGACCATTTTTTTTATTCAGGTCGATTGGAATTGTGTGGTTTATTTTCTGATAGAAAGAAAGTAGCTGGTCCTTTTTTTTGTTTTTGCGATGTGGATTGGCAGAGCCGAGCCGATGTCGCTGCGAGCGTGCACCGCCCGCCCGCCCCCCTTTTCTCTATTGACATTCCCCTCCTCCTGATATGTTGCATGGAGTGTTTCCTATGACATTTTGCCATTCCCTTGGTTAAATAAAATTGTCCATGTCAGTCTGAAATTGATGGCATACAAGCCGCAAGCCCGCCCAGTCTCTGCATCTGATTCACCACTCCGGTTGTAAATATGGAACTTCCCCTCGAGTGATACGAGTGTCCAACGTATAGAGGGGAAAAAAATGTGTCGGCTACTCCACCCGGGGCCCACGACACATGCACAATCGAAATTCGACGACGCAAAAAAAAGACCAGGTGGCGTCGCTGACGAGTTTTTATGAGTGAATAAATCACTCTCAAGACAAAAGAGAGGTCGTACCCGGGATCGAACCGGGGTTACCGGAATGTTTTCTGAGGGTATCAGAATCCGATGTGATAGCCACTACACTATACAACCGTTTTTTTGTTTGATGTTGGTGTTGCGTGGTCTGTACACATTTTTGTAATCCGGTGTTTGGTAAGTTTGGCTCGTCTGGGTTGTGTGTCGTTGCGCAGACGGGTTGCGGTCGAGATCGGTCCCGATATGTGCATTCAAGTTTTGGGTTTATTGTGCTTTGAGTCGACTTTTGCGTGTAAGTTTGTTGGTCTATTGATGTCTAGGATTTATGTGCTGATTATGCTCAGTTTTCGGGAGGATGGAAAGGGGGCTGGACTTTCAGGGGTAGCCTCACTCTGCGGTTTTGTTCAATCGGCATCCATGCCTGTCTCAAGCATCGAACTACGAGATCTGGTGGAGCGTAGCTGCGAACGCGATATTGGCAAGACACCGATATCGAGAAACGTAGACTTGAAGGCTTACGATGGGATACATCCCGGGGTAGTTTCAGGTAACACGGTGGTCTCCTTGGATGTATCGTAGCAATGGGGACACCACGACACATTAGTGGCAATATTCGACACGGTAGGAGCTACAGCAAGATATCAGATTCTTTTGCATACGCAGAAGAAAACAATGGGTGGTTATCGAGGGCGCTCTTGACACCTAGCTCGTGGAGCTCAACACCGGGAAACTGCCCAGATCGTATGCAACTCCAGGAACCACGTAGGTACTGCTCCGTCGGTGTCAACAGATGACCGCTGAGGCATCCAAGCTTGAAGGAACGACAGTAGTGCACCGGTGTCCACGGGAACCTCGCTGTGCTTCGGGTCGGCCTCGGAGCCAATAATACCAACCCCCTTCCTCTACATCAAAACACCCTCCAGTCCATGCTGAATAATATCAAACGCACAATCCCTAAGAGCCCAGGGTTCTAGATTGACCGGCGCGGTGGCAGCTATTACGGCTCAAGAGGTATTGTCGAACATAGCTGTTTCATAGATGACGCCAATATTGGTGCTTCACATCAACAGCCTGGCCGTCGTCGAGATCAGACTTACACCTGTCTTCTGTGTGCACTCTATTTCGGAGAACAGCATGATCTCATCCGACTGCTTGCAATGCAGCTGGTTCATCTCTCGCTTTCCCGTACCGTCATGACAGGAGTCTCAAGACCGTCAACAAATTCTAAATGGTGTATGATATATCCAGACAGACAGTATCTCTAAGTGTCCTACCATCGCAGCCAAACTGTCCAAATACTTGTGGCTGTTTCAATGGCCTCCAACAATACAGGAACCAAGAACTGTATGCTAGTAGCCGCCCCAGAGAGGAGACCCGCAGCCCAGCCATGTCATCGAACGACACCAGAGCAACATATACACTCGTCGTCAAATAGTACGAATAGCACAGGACGAGGCCCATGTAATTCCAAGAAACCGTAAACCCGAAACAGATATGACAATCCCAACAACTCGGTATCCATATCTACAGCTCGAGGACGCATCCATGTCAGCGGCCGGCAACAAAAAGGGAGCTCGCCATTGACCGTCGATCGATATTCGACGTGTCTTCAGTCCGAAGACATAGATATCTACAACTGTCCAGGTATTATACATCGTTGTTTTCGTTCGACCCTACGAAAAAAAACATGTCCATGGACGGATTTAGAACCCACTCCAGTCGTTTCGTTGCTGTCATCCCATTCAGCTAAACCGTACATGTGATCAAAACAACCACTTTATATAATGCGACACCGGTTTCTAGTTTCCCCTCGACGCAGGGTTGGCGTCAGAAAACATTCTTCTGGGGGGATTAAACGTAAAGAAGATAAAAATGCTTTTGATGATAAAACAAACACACGGGGTTATCTCCATAACACCCTCACACCCTCCTAGACACATCTAGAGTAATCCTGTCAATGATCACAAACATATATCTCACTGGAAAGCACCACGTTACCTACCTACGTAGACAAGGGGAACGGGTATGTACCAGTAAAGTAGACCCACCCGTTGGAAGTCAGCGGTCTGTTTCCCGATCAACAAGTAAAATCGCAACCCTAAACAAAGCCCGAGGTTCCAACTTGCGGGATTGGGGGATGGATGTATTGTACAGCAGCAGCCCCTATTTCGTAGTGCCTACCCAGCATATCGCTACTTACCTTACTTGAATACGACAGGAAGAAAATTAGCTACAAGAAGAGCAGTATTTTGAGGAGAAACTTCTTGTGAAGCAACCGCACTACCTTACACGGCCCCAACAACAACACGAGTTAGGAGAAAGCACAACAAGGAACGCCAAACCCAACCATCTGGGTACGGATACTCATCGCCTCTGCCGCGATAACCCACCCTCTCGATACTGGAGCATCTATCTGGTGAGAAAAGAGCCGAGAGAATGCAATGTGTTACGCAACCGTCTCTATGCCCTCCCTACCTGTCGACTTAGCATCGTGATGATCTCATTATAGCACCATCCGAAAGATCCATGTATCCTCACACGTCTCAACACATGTGTGGACGGCTCGCTCTCCTTGCCGCGAGACTTTGCCGCGAGAGTTAAATCTCACAGGCGACCTATTGTACGGCAGACCCAATGTCCCTCGTTCCGTGATTTTGTCTGGGACTTGCTCATTGCTCGTCATAACATATTGCCAGAGGATCTTCCATCTGTGACCAGGCCTTCATGACTTACCTTCTCTTAATGCGACGTGGAAGATAATCTGGATGACAAGCCGGCTCGCTCCTTGCCCAGTATATCCCACTGCGACCATATCCACGAGTCTTTGTTGATGCCGCGCATAGCGAACGACCGCTGGATGCACTCAACAAGCTGATCATGGCCCGTCACATGTCAAGCCCTCAACGGACACATACCCGTCGCCCTGCCAGCGTCTGGTACCACCAGACGGCATCCTGCAAGATGTCAAGCGGATATTCTGCCAATGGATATACTTGCCCTCATGCAGAGTTCCACCTGTCGACGGCCAAACAGCTAGCGCCCTCTCAATGCAGGGTGAGCGTCAAACTGATAGATCAAAATTAACGGCTGCCACATCCATCAGGGAAGGGAAAAACAAGGCGACCGACGGCCATCGGAGTAAGAGGCGGCTCAGACATCTCCTCCCACCCACACAGAGGTCGAATGAGACGAGGTCTAGACCCTCCGCCACCAGATGGTGACACGGGGGCCCAGGCTAGGACCGTCTCTCCTTCCCCCTTGCGGCCAGTTAGGCCACGGCTGGAACCACCACCTGCCCCTCCAACTTCCGCCAGAGGTGGATGCCTCAGCGCGGTGCCGATCCCCATTCACGCTGTAGCAGCAGGACCGGAGCCCGCCTCCTCCCTCGTGAACAGAAAGACGGAACGGAACGGAGCCGCGTCTGCGGCTGTCCTCTTCCAAAGCCGGCTCCGTGCAGCCAGTCGTAGTCGAGAGAAGAACAAGGTGTGTATATGCAAGGCGAAAATGTCTCACTAGCAGTGCCCTTGCTCCTCCTGCCTTGCAGCCTAGGCATGGCCTCTGACTGGCGCGGAGCCAGCTGTGTCCTGCTGGTCCTAACCCCCTTTCGCACGGGCATGTGTTGGCAGTGTCTCTTCACCCGCCGGCCCCGGGCCGTATGGACGGTACGGTGCTGCAGCGTGGACAAGCGAACCGAAGTTTTCCCATGACAGCCCAGGAGGTGCGAGGAAGAGGGGTTGATCGACGATCAATCTTTCGGCACTCCTGCTGGATTGAGGCGCTTGCAGATGTGATCTGAGCGGAAATGCACACCAGTGGGATAAGTACTCCATACTGCGCGCGCTTGACGCCGGCGCCGGTTCCGGTAACACGGTGCTGTGTCTCAGACAGGGGCTCTTGCGGACTCCGTCGTCTTGTTTGAAAAGGCCCAGCCCGTGAAAGCTGCTCACTAACCAGCACACTGCAACCCCGTGGCGCAGTCCTTGAATCGCGGTTCCGAGGCAAGCCCCATCACGCGCTTGGCTCTGAACTGCTGGCCTTCTCCCTCAGCTAGCCGCGAGCGATGTGGCGTCATGTATTTCCAGATTGGGTCGGCGTTGCATCCAGTACCAGACTCGGCCGCTTTGTTGACAGACTGCGAGCATGTTGATCAGATACAAGTCGGGATCAGCAAAGACGGCTTCGACAAGAAAATATGCCTGAGCAAGTGTTGGCTTCCCCGCGGCTTTGCTCGAAGCACGACCGCTTGCTTTTTCGCAGGCAACGGCTTTCTGACCCTTGAATCCTGGCAAGCCACACACAGTGTATGTAAGCCAACCCCTGTTCTGAGCTCGCCAGCCAGCCACCTCACTGCGAAGCATTGCCCAATGCTACTGCAGAGCAGTTGGTAAGAGGTCGACAATAATGATTGTTTAGTATCGGCATTTGGACGTGACGGGCTTGGTTTGTACTACACGTAAACAAACATGCAGTGTTGGAAGAACCGGGAACGAAGCAAACAAGCTCTTTGAGCTGGTGGGTCGAGCTAACGGTCAACTTCGGAATCGATGCCGATGGTCTAGGGAGACCGCTCAAAGAAGAAAAGCGTGGAGGCTCATTAAACGGCTGTGACTGTCTCAGAGATCGGCGGTGGTTGTGGCACATCACCCTGGTATTTGGACAACACCGAAGGGCCATCCGCTGGCGATGCCAGTTCGCAGGTGAATATCTCGTCGTCTGTTCTTTTTCAGCTCTGCAAACAACGAAATGGTCGAATGCTGATCGACGGCTTCCGCTATGCGAGCCCATGGTTGCGACCTCAACGCTACGACGGTGCTAGAGCTGCCCAGGGGGGACCCCAAGTCTGGGTTCGGCCTACGCAATCAACCAATGTACGCCGTATTTTGCTGCGATGAGCACGCCAAATCGACGCAGGAAGAAGCATGCAACGTCGGGATCCCCAGCTGACAAACATCGTACAGACCGGTCACCACTCGCCGTCCCGGAGAGCTTGGCCATGCAATATCGATGCATTGGTGTGTTGTTATGTTGCCGAAGCGGAGAGCGACAGCACCCAACAGACCAATCTCAGGCGCGCTTGATCTTCGTCGTGGTCCTTCCCGCCGCCGGCCAGTGAGCTC